ACTTCGTACAAAGATGCTCTAGGACAATGTACAAACCTAATTAGTTTGGGGTAAAAATCTGTTCATATTAATTCCCTAATAAGCATAATAATTCATAATTTTTTGGTTCTAATCACATTTCAATTAAACTTGGAGACATAGATTTTCTGTTACATTGCGCAGACCTCATTAGTTTTACACTCAAATCTGGTCATATTAATTTTCTGATTTGCATAATTAGTTTTCAGCTAAGTAATTTCGAATTATATTTAATGTGTCTCCAATACTCTCAGCACATGGGAGTTCTTTCTAAGCTTTCTTTGATTTATGCTGTTAGTTTCACCTTCTTTCAAATCATTGAAAAAGCTTGTTGAGATTTGCGACAATTGCGGTGTATTTATGCCAGGGCAAATTTGATTTTACGAAAATTTATAAGAAGTTCAGATTACGTTAAGTGTATGTTATTTAGAACGTATTTATACAGTATATATTGTTTGAATGTTTGGTGTCATTATCATACACAAATTGTGAATACAGTGCGAGTGGCTTATAATAACGCTTTAAGATCTTTAGCCCTAAACGGTTAGCATCGCCAGTGGTAATAATGTGAATAGAAATATTTTGAACTTTGAATCTCTTCAGCGCAAGGAATTATATAACTTCAGTCTTTTCTTATCCGAATTTTGGACTAATTTTAATCTAAGTTGTATTTATTAGTGTTGGTGTTTGTGTCAGCAAAATTTGCTCATCAAAATGCAGGAAATAGTGTTTCAGAGTCTAGATTTCAGAATTCAAAACTTTATGACATCCAAGTGTATTTGAAACCATATACATTTACGTCCTTTCTAATAACCTCAATTGAAGTGTTTAGTTCTTTTTTTAGATATTCAATAGCAGATGAAAACTTAAAAATATTTGACAGCCAGTTTTTACATTGACCTGATGTACTAGACTGGCAAAGTCGGGACTTATTTTATGTTTTACAAAAAGAAATAATTAATTGTTTTAAGTCCATTTAGCGTGATCGCGAAAACTAATGTGACCGAGAAGAAATCTATTTTATTTATTTTACTCAAAAATGTAATTACCAAACAAATAAAATCCTGAAAGACACCTGCCTTACTACTGTTGCAATGAATTATGATTGTACATTGAAATAATGGATAACTTTCATTTACTGTGTTATTGGTGGTGATCAAATACAGTTAAATTACAAGTATGAACTAATATGTTAGGTCTGCTAAACTTTGTTTGTAATATTATTCCTATACATGGTTATATAATGTATACATAACATGCTCATATTACAGTTTAACTGGACTGCATTACATTATGTTGCACGTTATGGTTATACAGATATACCAGAAGTGTTGATTTTGGCAGACGCGAATGTGAATGCTACCGATGATGTGAGTATAATTTTTATATTGTCATAGCTTTAATTGTCAAATCATCTCTCACCCCCTATTATGGCTTACAGGCCTGGTACCAATATTAAAAATAAATTGATTCGTACAGCATTGGCGGACTCGAATCAGCAGCCTGGTATGTAGTTGAGGTAAATGTTATACATGCCCATTTGTTGTGTGTTGTCCCACCATAAAATGCCCTTTAAAAACTATACACATTAAAGATTCGTTTACGTTTACTTCATCCAACATAATTTACTGTATTAGGTGTAAAAGATGTAATATGCTGTACTTTGGTGAGACTAAAAGACGATTGGGTGATTGTTTTGTTGAACATTTGCGTACTGTTAAAAACAACAAGATCGCATATGCAGTGGCTAAGCATTTTTGTACACAGCCCCATGATGGTGTCTCTGATATGATTGTTAATGGTATTTAACATATAAATGACAGGGATTCCTCTCGGCTCAGGTGTAAGCAATCATTAATATTCAAAATTGGTATACTCAGTCCAGCTAACATTAATTGTCAATTCACCTCATTTCCTTTGCCTTGATTTGCTCTTTATTGTGTTTTCATGCTTTATAGTGAGGTGTTTTTCTGTCCTGTGTCCATTTGCTGAGAAAGGGTTGAACCCGAAACATCTTTTTTTTATTCTTCATACTAGTGATTTTTTACTTCTGTGTGCGAAGCACAAAAAGGGAGTCTTTGCAGTTAGTGTGTGTGTCTGTGTGTGTGTGTGTGTGTGTGTGTGTGTGTCTGTTCCACTGATATCTCAAGAACCATACATTGATTTTTGATGAAACTTGGTGCATAGATGCTCTGGGTCAATGCGCAGATTTGATTAGGTTTTGGTAAAAATCAATGCATATTAATTACCTAATTTGCATGATAATTAGCTGATTTTTAGCTGTTCCATGATTGTGCCACTGATATCTAAACAACCACTCATTGGATTTTGATGAAACTTGGCACATAGATGTTCTGAACTAATACGCAGATTTGATTAGTTTGGGGTAAAAATCTGTGCAATATTAATTACCTTATTTGCAT